TGTACAGCTCGTCGATTGCCGCATCGCAACCATCGACAGACTAAAAATGACTGCATCACGGACATTATGCGAGAGCCGGGGTACTTTGGTACCCCGGGGTACCGCCATAAGGTTCATATATGAAAGGCATAAAAGCATACACTGGTGCAAGTTTGTTACAAAATAACACTGAATCATAAGAGTAAACCGCCAGTATAAATCATTACTCTGAAATTGTAAAGATAAATCTGCCAATTACTTACGATTGGTGTATTGATACAACTTTATTTTGCCAAGTGAAAACCCAACATTGAGACTGACAAGTCCCTTTATGGGTGACCCGAGTCCACAAGAAACAACCAATAAGATACAATACAACCAACACATGCAAAGATAATACAACATAAACTTAAGCCGTGCATTTTCACCTTGAAAATCATGACCACCTTAACCATACATGCTGTTATAAACGGGAGACACCAGCGAATATGTAATTTCTTCTATTGTCTACCGAGAGCAAGTATTCTGCTGCATACAAGCATACACTCATGGCCACGTTACCTTGATGGGAAGCCTCTGAGTGGGCAGTCCTTGCTCTTGATGGATCTTCTCCTGCTTGAAAGACTCCTGCTTGCGGTAAAGCTCGGCCTTCAGGTCCACCAGCTGGAGAGAGGCGTCACGACACACGCGGTCAGGATTGCACACAATCGTTAACAGCCTTCATACAGGTTTTTTGGGTTAGATCGCGTAAATATAAATGCGTCGTTAAACCCGCCACCACCCGACACAGCCAATTAGTAAGGTTTGTCACGTAAACAGAACTTGCCAATTCGCTACCAGTACAGCACACCGGTGTGTTGGTGAGAAAATCCACAAGATTTACTGAGTACGACGTCTTGCCAGTAATTACAACTAGCTTCATCAGGCGACAGCCAGAGTTGTGGAGAAATCCTCCCGGTTCGTTCCTTAGAAGTGGGGTGGATTAATGAATGCATATACATGATTATGGGTATCCATTGCCGGTTGGGCTATTTATATTGTAATCAACGTACATTACGCATGCACATTATGCACGCCAATTAGTCTGTACCTCCTGTCCATTGTGTGCACTAAAATATCCGTGCCTGATGTAGTCCAATGGCAATCCCCATTGAAGTATGGTGACCTGCATAGGCATGCATTTAAACAACGTACCCTCTCGTAATGTTACCCCTCCACCACTCAACTCGACACATGCGAATGTATACACCATACATTGTATGGTGCGAAAGAAGTTCAACGTACATAAATGACGATTGTGTTAAAGACAGTGAACGATAACGACCTTAATTATAACGATGGTGTTAGTATTGATGGGGAAGATACTGTTCCCGTGATGACTGATCATACTCATCATCATGATGCTCTATATATTCATGATGACAATGGTTCTTAACCCTTTGGGAGGGGGGGGGGGAAGAGACACGACGACATACCGAGGACGCGTTCACTTTGAACACGATCTTCTTCTTCTTGTCCATCGTCACGAGCAAATCACAAAGTGAACAACCCCCGCCCTTCAGCCACCACGCGTGAGAGGGCCTTGACAGACTGCAGGGGGGCAAGTGCTGTTAGCGAGCGCCTATGAAGGTCGGCACGGCACACGAGGGGGTGGCCAGCAACCACGCCCGGCCGCCTTTGTCTCCCCAGTGGCGATGTTTACTGCACACCGCGCCAGGTACTCATTTGAGGCCGAGTCGACCTAGGGGAGGCCCAGGTACCGTCACACTGGGGTTGGTGGCCGTGAGCGGGGATCAAACTCGGGCCGACGGGCTTCGTAGCGCAGCGAGAACCGCTCCCCACTACGCTACCCCCTCGACACGGAGCCCCCCTCGACACGGAGCCCCCCTCGATACGGAGCCCCCCTCGACACGGAGCCCCCTCGACACGGAGCCCCCCTCTACACGGAGCCCCCTTCTACACGGAGCCCCCCTCGACACGGAGCCCCCCTCTACACGGAGCCCCCCTCTACACGGACCCCTCGACCCCCTACGCGGCCCGAACTAGCACCACCAGGCTCCCGTAGTCGTCTCCACGGGGCGCCATCTTGCTACTCCCACGCCCCCTGATTGGTTCCCGCAGCCGCGCGTAGTTAAAACGCCGCATTCCTATTGGTCGGTGGGCAGGAGAGAGGTGGGGGGGGGGAATTGAGTGGTGTCCGCGTACGGGTCGCCGAGCGGGTTCCCTTCTCGCGAGCGCGATTCGTTATTCGTGGTATCGAGGTTTTTATGGATTATGAAAAAATATAAGGAATATGTTTTATCCTTTCTGGCAAAAAGAGGTGTAAAGATGTTCAAACACCAAATAGAAACCTTTTTCAAGGAATAAAGTTCAAATTAACCTTGCTAAAGGCTTCTGTTTGGTGTTTGAACATCTTAACACCTTTTGATTTAAAGCTTTCGTGACTGCAGAGATTCATATTCTTGGTTCTTTCGGTAAAGGCACGTAGAAGGGAAACAATAAAATCATATAAATAAAAAACAATCAAATTCTCACGATGTTTCGACTGCAACACAAGCAACCATCATCAGGTGTGAAAAACACAGCAAGAACATTTGAAAAAAGTCGTGGTTTTTTCTTAACGAAAGAACCAAGAATATATATATCTTAACAGCTGTTTTATTGCCAGAAAGGGTAAAACCTATTATTTCACTTAAAACTTTCGTGACTGCAGGAATTCATATTCTATGGTTCTTTTGGTAAAGTCACGTACATAGAAAAAATAATAAAAATAAAATAATAATATTGAACAAACTCAAGATCCAGGTCCGATTTAACACAGTAGATAAAATTCGTGATCTGATCCCATCTGTGAAGGACAAGATTCCTGACATGCAATATCCCGGTGTCTACAAACTAAGCTGTATCTGCGGCAGCAGTTACATTGGGGAAACTACGCCACATGTCTCGGACCGTGTTGGTGAACATAAGGCAGATCTTAAACACGGTAGCACCAATACTTCTGCCGTGGCTGATCGTCTTAGAGAAATCAATACCCAGTTCAATTAAATTTGTGATTTTTTTTTAATTTTGAAAAATATTCTTTCTGTTGTTTTCACACCTGATGATGATTGCTTGTGTTGCAATCGAAAAGTCGTGAGAATTTAATTGTTTTATTTTAATTCTTTCCCTTCTACGTGACTTTGCCGAAAGAACCAAGAATATGAATCCCTGCAGTCACGAAAGCTTTAAGTCGAAATTCATATCAGGTTCATTATTATATTTATTACAACCTTTAGCCTGGCGAAGACAGGCTTCATGAACGACTGTCGTTTTATTTAAACGCCCCTCGCTGACCTGAAACCTTCGCATTGGCGCCGCCTGGTGGCTACCAGTGGAGAAAACTGGTGAATGTCACGATTTCCCCCAACTTTGGCAACCTTGCTGCCATCCATCACTTCCTTCCTGTTCAGCCACCAATCGCTCTGGAGCAACTCCGACAATTTATTATTTTGGTTCGGTCTCTTTCACCAACCTCCACGTGGAAACTGTTGTCAGACCCAACGTTGGGTCTTCGACCTTCCACGAAGCTTATCGGCCAAAACCCCTTTAACCGAATTCACTGCACAAACCACGGCATCAGATGCGGTTACCTGATGATGATGATGCACAAATGTAAAATTAACAACTCTCTGGCAGTGTGCAACTGTGGTTGCCATCCACAACAGACCATAGAATTCACAACGACTACATGGCCGATTGACAAATAGGACGAGACATAATCGCAGCGATGCACGACTCCGAAACTCCTCGTGCAATTATTGTATGGCTCATTCACCACCTCAATGTAGACTCACACAGAGACCCATAGACTCACATAGAGACCCATAGACCCACATAAAGACCCATAGACTCACATAGAGACCCATAGACCCACATAAAGACCCATAGACTCACATAGAGACCCATAAACTTACATAGAGACCCATAGACTCACACGGACACCCGTAGACTCACACAGAGACCCACAGACTCACACAGAGACCCACAGACTCACATAGAGACCCATAAACTCGCATAGAGACCCATAGACTCACATAGAGACCCATAAACTCACATAGAGACCCATAGACTCACATAGAGACCCATAGACTCACATAGAAACCCATAGACTCACATAGAGACCCATAGACTTACATAGAAACCCATAGACTCACATAGAGACCCATAGACTTGCATAGAGACCCATAGACTCACAAAGAAACCCATAGACGCACATGGAGACCCATAGACTCACATAGAGACCCATAGACTCGCATAGAGATTCATAGACTCACACAGAGATGCACACACTCAGAGATCTATAGATTGATACTGAACTCATACATCCACAGAGACCCAGACTCACAAAGCAATCTATAGATCCACACTGATACCTATACATGGAGAGGACCCACAGACTCACACATAGATTTAGAGATTCCCACCGAGATCCTTCAGACTCGCAGACACCCACAGACTCACACAGACACCCACAGACTCACACAGACGACTATGTGAAGTAGATCTCAGAAGGATAGACTCTTCTACTCCCGCAGCATGGATCTTGCTGATTAACCACCTCACTGTAAAATTACCGTAGCTTTTCTCCATCAACATATGCCGTGTGAAAGATACCTCGTATACAGAGTAGAAGCACACCCACAAGGAAACTCCGATACACACTCGGTACTTTGCAACATCGTAATCCTTTATTTAAATCTGCAGCAAATAAGAAAATAATTCACCAGGTACTACATTTGTCTGTGTCAATGAGGGGTGGGGAGAGTTGCTTTCGGAGTGTCGTTCATCAGGTTAAGTCGCGCGTGCGCACACACACACACGTGCGCGTGCGTCGAGGCGCGTGCGCACACACACACGTGCGCGTGCGTCGATGCGCGTGCACACACACACGTGCGCGTGCGTCGAGGCGCGTGCACACACACACACACGTGCGCGTGTGTCGAGGCGCGTGCGCACACACACACGTGCGCGTGCGTCGAGGCGCGTGCGCACACACACACATGCGCGTGCGTCGAGGCGCGTGCGCACACACGCACACGTGCACGCGCGCGCTCAAAGTCGCCCCGTCGTCGTCCACGTCCGTCAGTGCTTCTTGATACAGCGCACGGACTGCACGGTGGGGCTCGAGGCCCCCCACTCGCTGCACTTGCGGTAGTCGCCCTTCTCCAGCAGGTACTGGCGCCCCTTGTAGTGGGGCTCCTCGTGGGCCACCCACGCGCCGTCGAGGACGCGCACGGAGCGCACCTCGCGCCGGCGGAAGCGCTCGAGCAGGCACGGGCAGTCGTCGGCGAGCTCCATCAGCTGGCCGCCGAAGTCCTCGCTCTCGTAGAGGGCCAGGCGCTGCTGCTGGGGGCGGTCCGCCTGTCCCGGTTGGAGCGCGCGGGGTGGGGAGTTGAGAGAGAGTGAGAGAAAGAGTGTGAGAGTGAGTGTGAGAGTGTGTGTGAGAGAGAGTGTGAGAGTGAGTGTGAGAGAGAGAGAGTGTGTGTGAGTGTGAGAGTGAAAGTTTGAGAGTGAGTGTGAGAATGAGAGTGAGTGTGAGAGTGGGTGTGAGAGCGAGTGTGAGAGGGAGTGTGAGAGAGTGTGAGAGCGAGTGTGAGAGAGAGTGTGAGAGTTTGAGAGTGAGAGAGTGTGAGAGAGTGTGAGAGCGAGTGTGAGAGAGAGTGTGAGAGTTTGAGAGTGAGAGAGTGTTAGGGCGAGAGAGAGTGTGTGTGAGTGTGATAATGAGAATGAGTGTGAGAGTGAGTGTGAGAGCGAGTGTGAGAGAGTGTGAGAGGGAGTGTGAGAGAGAGTGTGAGAGCGAGTGTGAGAGAGAGCCAGTGTGAGAGAGTGAGAGCGAGTGTGAGTGAGAGTGTGAGAGGGAGTGTGAGAGAGAGTGTGAGAGAGAGTGTGAGAGGGAGTGTGAGAGAGAGTGTGAGAGTGAGTGTGAGAGTGTGAGAGTGAGTGTGAGAGAGAGAGTGTGTGTGAGTGTGATAATGAGAGAGAGTGTGAGAGAGTGTGAGAGAGAGGGTGTGAGAGCGAGTGTGAGAGAGAGTGTGAGAGCGAGTGTGAGAGCGAGTGTGAGAGAGAGAGTGTGTGTGAGTGTGATAATGAGAATGAGTGTGAGAGTGAGTGTGAGAGAGTGTGAGAGAGAGTGTGAGAGCGAGTGTGAGAGAGAGCCAGTGTGAGAGAGTGAGAGCGAGTGTGAGTGAGAGTGTGAGAGGGAGTGTGAGAGAGAGTGTGAGAGAGAGTGTGAGAGGGAGTGTGAGAGAGAGTGTGTGTGAGTGTGATAATGAGAGTGAGTGTGAGAGAGTGTGAGAGAGAGAGTGTGAGAGCGAGTGTAAGAGAGAGTGTGAGAGCGAGTGTGAGAGCGAGTGTGAGAGAGAGAGTGTGTGTGAGTGTGATAATGAGAATGAGTGTGAGAGTGAGTGTGAGAGAGTGTGAGAGAGAGTGTGAGAGCGAGTGTGAGAGAGAGCCAGTGTGAGAGAGTGAGAGCGAGTGTGAGTGAGAGTGTGAGAGGGAGTGTGAGAGAGAGTGTGAGAGAGAGTGTGAGAGGGAGTGTGAGAGAGAGTGTGAGAGTGAGTGTGAGAGTGTGAGAGTGAGTGTGAGAGAGAGAGTGTGTGTGAGTGTGATAATGAGAGTGAGTGTGAGAGAGTGTGAGAGAGAGTGTGAGAGCGAGTGTAAGAGAGAGTGTGAGAGCGAGTGTGAGAGCGAGTGTGAGAGAGAGAGTGTGTGTGAGTGTGATAATGAGAATGAGTGTGAGAGTGAGTGTGAGAGAGTGTGAGAGAGAGTGTGAGAGCGAGTGTGAGAGAGAGCCAGTGTGAGAGAGTGAGAGCGAGTGTGAGTGAGAGTGTGAGAGGGAGTGTGAGAGAGAGTGTGAGAGAGAGTGTGAGAGGGAGTGTGAGAGAGAGTGTGAGAGTGAGTGTGAGAGTGTGAGAGTGAGTGTGAGAGAGAGAGTGTGTGTGAGTGTGATAATGAGAGTGAGTGTGAGAGAGTGTGAGAGAGAGTGTGAGAGCGAGTGTAAGAGAGAGTGTGAGAGCGAGTGTGAGAGCGAGTGTGAGAGAGAGAGTGTGTGTGAGTGTGATAATGAGAATGAGTGTGAGAGTGAGTGTGAGAGAGTGTGAGAGAGAGTGTGAGAGCGAGTGTAAGAGGGAGTGTGAGAGTGAGTGTGAGAGCGAGTGTGAGAGTTTGAGAGTGAGAGCGAGCGAGATGAACCCCGGAGCCCGCTTCGTCAGGGGCCGCACTAAAGGCCACGAGGAGCCGCCAGTTTGGCCCGCGGGGCCACGGGGCTGAGCTGGCCTCAGTGGCGCCGCGATGCGAATTCAGACCTCGCGGACCGTCCTGCAGGAGCCCAGTCGCTCGTTGAATCCGGCCCAGCGCTGGTAGTCGGCGTACTCCCCGGGCTCGAGGATGTACATGTAGCCCTTGAAGTCGGCTCGCTCGAACACCACCCAGGCGCCAGACTCCACGCGGATCGAGTTGCAGCGGCTCAGGAAGGGGCTCGTGTTGGTGGTCTCCTGGCTGCACTCGTAGCGGCGCCCCTGAAAGTTGCGCTCCTCGTAGAAGATGATCTGCAGAGAGAGAGAGAGACGAGGAGCAGAGCAGGTAGCCACCCCGGTTGGTGAGGGATGGCGCCCTGCAAGTTGCTCACTCTGCGCTCCTCCGCCGAGAGGGAGCTCTGGAGGAGGGGAGGAGGGGAGTGGGTGCAGTGAATTGTGTCGCGAATTCCGTGACGCAAGATCCCATTAAACAACACCATCGGAAGGAACGGCTAACAAACCCCACTGTTGTGAAGGAATGTGCTGCGTCGCCACTGCTCAATACCCCGGCAGTAAATAATTGTACACCAACACGTTTATAGATGCCGCACTAATTTTACTCGGATATCGAACCTGCTTATATTATTACGACATTTGACATTGCAAATTAGTGGGCATCTTGTCCGAGCGAAAGCATTTTACACGCATATATATATAAAATGTAAACATTATTCGTTTCAATCGGAAATAAAAAAATTGTTTCGATCAAGAAAAAAAAAATGCCCGGCGTGATAGTCGAGTAGTCGAAGCAAAGTTGCAAGTTTCTCAAATCCCTCGACCGCCTCTGTCCACCCAGCAGCATCAACGGTTTCACCACAGCCAATGGGAGGACCACGCGGTGGAGTAGTGTACACAATTTCTGCCCAGCGTGGAAGAGTAGGCCAAATGACCCTCTAGATGTGTGCTCTCTCAAACACCCTCTAAGCGGAGGCCTATCCGCCGGCAGGGGCGGGAGCTACAAAATGATTGCAGGGCTGCGCCTTTAACTTGTACCCAAGAACAACAAGTGTGAGTGCACAGGTGGTGGGCGCGGGGCACGTTACCTTCCCCATGATGATGTTGATGTTGCTGCTGCTGCTGCTGTGGCCGCTGCCGATGACCTTTTGTAGGCTGCTGGTGGTGGCGACGGTACCGATGTGGGGCTGGAGGTGCTCTTTATATACGCTCCCGGTGCACGCTTTGCGCAGGGGGGGAAATGGCCAAACAAATCCGTCGATGCGCGACTTTTATTGTCCATTTTAGCACAAATCAGCGGGATTGCAATTCAGAACAGACAGGGAGAGTTTGCGAGATATCCGACGCTCATTATGCACAAACACACACTGACACACACACACTGACACACACACTGAACACACACACACTGAAACACACACACACTGACACACACACACTGACACACACACTGAACACACACACACTGACACACACACACTGACACACACACACACTGACACACACACACTGACACACACACTGACACACACACTGACACACACACTCACACACTGACACACACACACACTGACACACACACACACACTGACACACACTGACACACACACACTGACACACACACTGAAACACACACACACTGACACACACACACTGACACACACACACTGACACACACACTCACACACACACACTGACACACACACACACTGAAACACACACACTCACACACACTCACACACAACAACAACCGCCATTCGCCACTAAGTGGCGGTGACGTCACCACGATGCTTGTGCCAGGCCAAGTGCACCTTGAGGCCACGTGAAGCGTCGAACGCCCGGTGGCAGGAGGTCACGAGGCAGACCCAGGTGCCACGGGTCGACTGACCGAGATGACCGAGATGACTGGCTGATGCACCACCTGTGCCCCCTACTGTACCACACACACACACTGACACACACACACTGAAACACACACACTCACACACACTCACTGACACACACTCACACACACACACTGACACACACACTGACACACACACACATACTGACACACACACACTCACACACACTGACACCAACATCGCGTTGCGTAATGGCTGTTTATGTAGGCAAAGTGTGATTAGTTTGGTGCACATTAACACGCCGCGTAGCGCAAACTTAACACAAAGCATCATGACGAGCAACAGAGAGCGAACACTGCACGTGTCAACAACGTTCTCGGTTTCTGTTCAGTCAATAAGATCGGGTTGATGCGACAGGCTTCAATGCTGTTCAGGAAATTATACTTTCGGAAGAGTATTTTGCCAGCGATGTGCATGTCGCATTGTTTTTTGCAGTTCATTTAATTTATTCAAACACTCGTTCGAAAATCATTACAACGTCTTAGTTCAACGAATCGCACGTCACGACGTTCAGTAGTCGCTCTTTGTGTCATTCATTCACTTGCCACACACACCGTGGAACCTCTAAACATGTGTACGCGTAAACATATATTATAAATGTCACGCGAATGATTTGTGCTTAAGTATGGAACAATACTGAGCACACGAACTTCCGTTAAATCAATCATTGTATCCCTCACCCACGAGCAACATATCATCTGTGTGTACACACACGCAGTGGATGTGTTGCTATTCCTTCTGTCGATCCACTGCTGGATGAGTGTCTCCCCACGTCTCGTGGGTTCGTCGTGGAGAGTTTCTCATCATTCTTCGCCAATCGTCAGTGTCGTGGCGATCGACGATGGCGATCATAGAATGCCAGGCCAACACTGGATGTTCGAATGCGCTTGCACCCTCTGCTGAAATATAACAACCCCACAGCGGCACTCCCAAACACTTGTGTCTATACACAGCGGAATGCACGGGCATGCCATGATGCCATCAGCTCGCACGAGCCACGCTGGGTATCGTGTGGCCTTGCGGAGCTGCTACGCCTGTTCGGGCGGGGATCACCGGCGCACAAACGCGACGCGAACTTGAGATCGGTGACACATCTGAACGGGTAAACGTGACGCTTGAATGCGCTACGCACGTTGGTATTTTATTCGCCTTTAACCGGTGAACAATATAATCACCCACCACACCACCCCACGTGTTTAGAGGGGGCGGTGGTTCTCAGAGTGGTGTTGGTCTCCGGTAGCGCCGGTGGTCCGCCACGTTCCTCCAATGTTGTCCGCGGTGGAATTTTCTTCGCATTTAACCAGAGAACGATACAACAACACACCACAGCACCCACGTGTTTAGAGGGAGCGGTGGCTCTAAGAGTGTTGGTCTCCGGCTCCGCGAATCTCCTCCACGTGGTCCGCCGGGGCTGTGATGCAAAACGCGCCACGGGTTGATCCTGGAAATGATGAGAAACGCTTCTTGTAAATATTTGGTTTCGGACGTTAATTAATGTTTCACTCGTGATCTTACATTTTAAAAGTCAAGTTCGGTAAACTACCCTGATTAAACTACCATGACCCTAATATCTAAATCCTCCCCCCCCCCCATATTTACGTCACTCGTCTTGATACGCCTTGAAAAAGGTTTCCATTTGCTGTTTGGACATCTTGACACCACCTGTTGTTTTGCCAGAAAGGGCTAAACCTATTCTTATTTTTCATCATTTTGGATACTGGGAAAACGGACTCCGTAGATGTAGCAGCAGCTCGACCCGAGCTACAAGTGACCTGACAGTGGATTGTCTTTCTGCTGGTCGCATCTTGGCGTTCTCTGGTCTGACGCTGGTGAGACGAGGCCATACAGAAGGCGACTGTCTCTATTGTAGGCCAATCAGTTTCAAAGAGAATGCACACATTTTCAGAGCGTATTTGTTTGCATGTTTGCCACAAGTATGTGTGCTTAATGCAGCCTTGATGATGCTCTTAGGTTTTTTTCGGTAAAGTCACGTAGGTAAAATAATAATAATAGAAATAAAATAATAATGAATAGATTTATTTTCATAAAAATAGAAATTAAATAATAATAAATTGATTTATTTTCATTTATTATTTTAATATTATTTTACCTACGTGACCTTACCGAAAAAAAACCTAAGAGTATAAATCCTTGCAGTCACGAAAGCTTCAAACCTTGATGATGCCTTGACAAATGTTTCTGTTTGGTGATTGAACATCTTGACACCTCCTGTTCTATTACCAGAAAGGGTGAACAACCTATTCGTATTCGTCACTCATCGTGTCAGTCCATCAAATGTTTAACATCCTTTGAGCAAAAAAACACAACGGCAACAACACATTTCAGAGTGTGTATTCGTATATTCATGTCACAAAAAGAGTGAGTCGTCGGGCAGTAGGAGAAGCGGGAGACCTTGAGTTATGGAGTTCTTGAGTTATTGAGTTCTTGAGTTCTTGAGTAATTGAGTTATTGAGTTCTTGAGTGCTTGAGTTATTGAGTTCTTGAGTTATTGCATTCTTGAGTTCTTGAGTAATTGAGTTCTTGAGTTATTGAGTTCTTGAGTTATTGAGTTCTTGAGTTATTGAGTTCTTGAGTTATTGAGTTCTTGAGTTATTGAGTTATTGAGTTCTTGAGTTATTGAGTTCTTGAGTTATTGAGTTCTTGAGTTCTTGAGTTCTTGAGTTATTGAGTTCTTGAGTTCTTGAGTTATTGAGTTCTTGAGTAATTGAGTTATTGAGTTATTGAGTTCTTGAGTGCTTGAGTTATTGAGTTCTTGAGTTATTGAGTTCTTGAGTTCTTGAGTAATTGAGTTCTTGAGTTATTGAGTTCTTTAGTGCTTGAGTTATTGAGTTCTTGAGTTATTGCATTCTTGAGTTCTTGAGTTCTTGAGTTATTGAGTTCTTGAGTTCTTGAGTTCTTGAGTTATTGAGTTCTTGAGTTCTTGAGTTATTGAGTTCTTGAGTTAATGAGTTCTTGAGTAATTGAGTTATTGAGTTATTGAGTTATTGAGTTCTTGAGTTATTGAGTTCTTGAGTTATTGAAGAGTTGAGAGCTCGGTTGGCCCCAGTGGATTTCCAGGCAGTGCGAGCAGCAGAGGAGAAGGAGAGAAGGACCCGTCACCAAGCACTTGGCACCTCTGCAATGGCTTCACGGGCGTAAACATGGTGTTGTTGTTGCCTATTTCGCATTTCATTCAGCAGCAAAACATGCGCACTCAATTGTGTAAACACCACATATCGGCATCGCTATAACATCAGCTGAACTATGTATGCGACTAATAAACTTTGATTGATTTAACTCCTGCGGATCGTCTGAGAAACAGAGCGCCTTCCTTCGTGAGAGCGCTGTGCGATCATATGAGCGTGAACAGCCGATGCACTGATGAGTTAAGTCCATGACTTGAATTAGAATGTACGTGTAGTTTTGGAACAGCATGGCTCTGTACGATGGCTCTCTGTGCACGTGTGAGCGTGTGGAGTGAGGGGTCATCGCGCCGCGCTACGAACAGCTCAAGTTCAAGTTCATTGATTACGTATAGCCCTGTGGGCCATTCGGCTCTTGAATCTGGTGCAACCGCAACAAACAAAAAAACAAAAACATGAACAAGAAAACATCTTAAAGTGACTTTGTGCAAACAGAAAATCCAAGAAAAGACAGCAAAATATTGCAGAAAAAGCACCGTACACCAACACTGTGTGCAAAAATCCCAATGGGATGCAAGTCAAACAACAACAACAACCACAAGACAACTTAGATTAAGGCCATCAGTCTAACTCTGTACTACAACAAACAAACATGGCCAAACCGAAAAACTTTTCGAAAATCACCAAAATAAAGCCATAAAAGCAATGAAACAGTGATCATAGGAACTGTGACCGAATTTTCAAAACAAACGACGTTCCCAGTGGCTTCCTAACGCCAGCAACAGCACATGGCCGAGTCACGGCCGGTGTGGGCTTGGTGGTGACACGCGGGCTCTGCTGTAGAATGGTGGTGCCGTGGCAGGCGGCAAAAGGCCTCACAAAGAGGATGGCGGAGGGCCTGCCATGAGCCACTTGGCCTATAGGCGGCGCTGCCTCGCCGGGCCGGGACAATTGACGGCAGTCGAGTGCACAAACTTGGCCGATCTTGGGACAACGACAATTTGATGAAACAGGAGCAGTTTTCATCCAAGTTTCCCCCTCGTTTCGTTTGTGTTGTTTTTTAATTTAGTTTTTCAGGTCCGATTTTTGGACGCGTTAGTTTTCGACGTTAACCCAACGTTTGAC